TCTGGAACCCACTTGTGTAAATGGCTATATCCGCCCCTGCGAAGACTGTCTCTTATACACATCTAGATGTGTATAAGAGACAGCTTTCGCCCTCCCCTCTCTTGACATCTCTGGATCTGCCCCTGGAAACGATTAATTTTTAATTTAAAATAGAGAAATGGGCGACCACAATGACGGTGACGGCACTCGATTTTGGAGCGCGGCATTCGAAAACGAGGTTCGTGAACTGGGTCCCAAAAAATAAACTGGTGCTACAGGATTTTGAGCTAGTGTTAAAAGATAGGGAATTTCCTAAAATGTACCGTACCGACTTTCAAAGGCTTGCATTCGATAACCCCATAAAAAATCGTGTCAAACTTTAGATATTGCCAATGTAAATTTGGCCGTTCTTTTCATTTATATGGGTTTTCACTTATAAAATGTCTCAATTATGTGTAAAATAACAGTTTGCCCAAGTTTTTATTTTTTATAAAAACGACAACAATTTTTGTGAAAATTGGTGAAAATTTGGTTGTGATGTAACGTCCTGTTTTATACACGTGTTTGTAAGTTTTTTGCGTACGTTTTTTGAACGTTTTTTAAACGTCTTGGTGCAAACAATCTGCAATCAAAAAGAAATGTTTACACAGCGTCGTGGTAAAATCGTTTTTAAAACGTTTTATAAAAATGATAATTTTTGTGAAAATTGGTGAAAATTTGGCTGTGATATAACGTTTACAGAACGTTGTGATTTCTTTCTATTTTATACACTTGTGTGCAAGTTTTTCGCGTACGTTTTTAGAACGTTTTTTAACGTTTTGGTGCAAAAGTCTATCCGAAAGCATACTTTTATAACGTTAACGATTTAAAAACGTTTTGAAAAGTTTCACAAAAACGAAACCCAAACTAAAACCAATTCAAAACGTTTTTTAAACGTTTTGTGTTAGCTGGGGAATATCGTAAAATTAGTATATATAATATACCTGCTTGCTATTCTATGCCTTTGTTCATACTAAATATGAACGAAATGTTTGTAAGAAGTCAACATTAAAAGAATACATTGTACCTGTGTGTTTTTGCAAACGTTTATTCTTTAGAATCAGTAGTATAGCAGTTAACTATTGCTATACTTACACTACTCAAATAATCAATCACAAATTCAACGCTGCCTTTTTATACTTTCAAAGACCATGTTGTACGTAAACACTGCCTAAGCATAGGGATATTGTAATTACATTGATAGTCAATTACGGTATTTCACTCTGTATCGATTGTATACACTTTCCTCTCGACCGACTACCAAGAGATTTTGGCATACCTTAACCATCGAGGGATAGTTTAGTTTCTAAACTAACTCCTCCATGCCCTAAACAACGCCGTAGCTTTCATATTCCTCAAGCAGCGAACACCATACCACACCACTTTCGCGACTCGCGAGAAGCGTCAAGCATGCATGCTTACATTATTCATGTTATCAGTTCACCTAAATGACCTTAAATAGTGCCCTCTATAATTTCTGCCGAAACTGTATGGGAAAGAAACATAATGCAGCCGGGCACACTTTGTACGACGATAACCCCGCTCTCTGTGAGCGTAAGACGACGCGACCATCGTCAGCTGACTGTCGGTGGTAGTCAATTACAAACGATCGATTGCGCGCTCTCGTTCTACATAGAAGCGCGTCGGGCACAGTGAGTGCCCGGCTTTAATGTTTGTGTTTCATCCATAGAGCTATTAAATAACTAGAGTGCCTGACAAGATGGCGGAGCAATGCAGAGATATGTATGTGTACCATCCAAGATGGCCGTCGTAGTAAAGCGCCACCTTCAGGCTTAGTATACATATTACAGTATTACCATAAATAAGCCCTCTGACTGACTATTATTTCATTAATGATAATGAGTAATGGTAATAGCAAATTATTACACTATCGTAGCCAAAACGAGGCCAAGTGGAGTATCCTATTCAAAAATAAAGTACCAAGGAATGAAAATTAAAATCGTGTACATTACACCCATACACCGCAACGCTCCAGCTTCAAACATACGGGTAACTAGATGTACTGAACTTTCTGTGTAAATTGAGGGCGCAATTGCAAACGATGGCGCTTAGAGAAATTTGATTGGCTAAATCTATGGCAGCCATCTTGCATGGTACACACACACAGTTCTGCGTATTTCGAACATCGAATACATTGCGGTTAGCGCTCTAGTATTCTTATTATATCTCTATGGTTTCATCAAAGAACTTAAATAACAGAAGAATGAGCTGCTCCGCGTATTTGCATTAAAATCGATGGAACATTCGCCCTCCTGAGGATGCAGTAAATTTGAACATTTTACTAAGTGGAGAAACTAAACGAAACAAACGAACAAGAGCAGCGCCTTTATTACTGTATCTTTATTATTGCTATATAGCGCCGCCGCGCGGATGCAGTAATATTACTCTCCGTGTACCCTCAATGCCTTTTGAACGGATATTCCACTATATTGGGAAGCTGATCTATCTTCTGCTATTTATTATCTTTGGTTTCATGTACCAAAAATTATCTTTGATCCAATTTCGATAGGCCCACCAATTTTGATATCAATAATTTTGATCTTTTGATCAAATGTTCCAGACTTGAGGTTTAATTTAGATCATTATAATGATTTAGATTTTGCATAGTAATCAAAGATGCTAAAACACAAGATAGACCTCTCACATAGCAAAGTTGAAGTATGTCATATATTTTATGCATCTCCAGACGTACGCGGCGCCCTACTCTTTCCAATCAAGGCCGCATTTGACTGAGTCGTTTCGTTGATAATGATATTTTGTTGAATAATATTTTTATTCGACTAGTTCGTAAAAATAGAAAAATTAACGTAATCCAGAATGATAATTTGCAATAGGTTATCCACGTGACTAAAACAAACATGGCAGATTGGCCAGTTTAGCAACAACATTAATTTTGCGTAAATATAATTTAAATTACATTCAGAAAATACTAATTATACTGTTTACCCAAATAAAGTGAAACAATAATATACCGAATCAGCAGCTCATGTATTAGGGTTTGTTTACATCTATCAAGATCGCGAGAAGGCAGTGCATTGAATATATTCGAATAGCTTCACCTTGTTGTTGATATAAGTCACATTATAGATGTTGCAAACGTTGGTTGGAATGAGAGTTATAATTTGGTAAATCACTTAGAAGTGTTCCAAAATTAAATTTTCAAACACTTATTAGTTTAGTTTGGTAAGGCTCCAATGGCTAGTGGGAATAAAGCCTTGAAGTTTTTTCAAGGAAAGGTACGGTACCTTCACGACTTGCATATTGCAGTGAGTCGTCAAGGCTTAGGCTAACACTAACAGTGAAGCCTAGGCCTCCTACTTGTTTGTAGCCTACCCACCGTACACTAGCAGCATTCCAAAGCCTAAATAAAATGCACGGAGATTCCCAAAGTAATTATAAATCACTATTAAAAGAAAAACAGAAGAAAAAAAACAAAAAAACAAAAACGTAGGCCTATAGCTGCTTTACTTTATTACTTTATGTCGCTTTAAAAAAACATCATAACTCTCAATATACTGTGTTCAATGAGCGCACTGTTTACGATGTGGATGTTTACATTTAGTACCCACTGTATGTCACATGGCCATAATGAGTCGCCGATTCGGTCTATTGTATTGCGGTAACTACGAAGCCATTTTGTTTGGTCGAGTAATTACCAGTTTTCTATTTTAGGTCGTCTTCGTAAAGTAAGATTAATTACAACTGCGCTAGTTTCCAGCCGTACGCGGCGTCTCAATGAGGCGTCTCGTAAGGTTGGAGTTAAACAAACCTACGCTAGTACAGGAAACCCACAATGCAATTCGGTGATACCAGTTTGTGTGTATGTGTGTGTGTGTGTGTGTGTAAAGAGTCTTATCCGTATTTCAAGTATTTTGGTAATTCTGCTGACAGACAACCAATTAGAAACTCACACATATAGGGCCTAACCTAATACACTGACACAGACTCTGTCACATAATCACATGTAAATCAGTCGGCAAATTTGCAATTGTTAAACACAATATTTGTTGAAATATTACTTCATACATTCTTTCTTGAATTGGCGTAAGTGGCTTGTTTTTATTCTAGTATGTACGTAGTTTGTTTCTTGATTAGAAATAACTCGGATAATGTGTTGTAATCACATTGTTCAACTGTCCACAACAAAAAAATTACTGAGTCAAATAAGATCTGTCCGTGATTTGGCTCTATTTATTTCATAAACCTAATTATTTATAAGTAAAATTTCGACTGTTACCCTTGATTTTAATTTTGAGCAAGGAAAATTAACATTCTCATAACAAAATCAATTCGAATTCTTGAAGAATTAACAAATTTGAAATGCTATCATTATTTTGTGATCTATTTTTTACAAAAAAAATAGATACAAGAAATACTATTAGTAAGTAAATATTAAATTCAAACATCACAATTAACAAAGTTAAAAATTAATTCAAAATGCTTTTACAAATTACAATTGCCCTAAAGTCTTAAGTACAGTATTTAGAATCAACACACCGATTTCTATTGACAAGAAAGTCTTTAATATATTCGGTGTAGTAATAATGGATCTTTCCGGAGTGCCAATAAAACCTATTACTGTATAAGTCAATCGTGACGTCATCACTGTAACTCCCAATGTTATTTGCCTATTCCCCAGCGTCCACTATTTTTTTCTATTAGTGAACGGTTGGTTTGATTTTTTTTTAGGTTCGTGTGCAAAAATAAATTCTCATTTTTTTCGTCACCGAAAATACATCGCGCACCGCGATAAAAATTGAATTGTAATTGAAAATTACTTTCGTAAAACAAGCTTAATTAGAACCCGAAGAAAGTTACTTCAAATTAAATATTAAGTAGGCCTATGAACAATTAAAGAATTCATTGAATCAATGGACCCTCATAAACACAACAAACTGAACGTTTAATAGGAATATTCTAGATCTATTTTAAAGACTCAAGGAACACATTTAGATGTAGGCCTACGGCCAGACGGGAGGCCAATCCGGCCTCCTCCTGAGTCCTACTACTACTAAGCCGTAGCCTAGCCTATTTATGAAATCATCGCACGATTTTACCTGTATGCATGCACTGACCAAAAAGGACGTCAGTGACTGTACTTTATTCTCTCTCGAATGCTGAAATGTTTATTTCTTTGACGAAAGTCTATCAAAATAGCATTACAAACAAGTTCTTTTTGTGTGTAAATTAAACGCGTACTGCAGGAGCAAAAATCAGCATACGCACAGCTAAATGTAATACGCACACGTATACTGATCATATCACTATAGCAACCGATGACTGCTACAACAGTTGGTTATAAAAAAAAACTAAATTAAAAGACGGCGATTGACTTATAAAGCAATTAGTAGAGCATGCATAGTACACTAAATGGAAAATTAATATAATTAGGTTAGATTTAATGCATTCAAAAATTTCCTTCGGGCCTTGCAAGCCCTCAGGAATTTTTTTCAAGCATTAAATCTAACCTTCGTATAATAATTTTCCAATAGTGTACTATGCGGAGCTCTATTAATTGCTTGCCAGCCAATGAGAGGTCGCGCGTCTAGCAAACAGACATGTTGTTCCACAAACGCACGTGTTATTGCTGCGAAGCAGCCAATTCATATTCTTGACAGCAATTTGACCTCTGAAAGGTCATTGTTTGTCAAAAAACGACTGCCGAAGACGACTGAAAAGCGGAGTTTCCTTCTGTCGTTCTGCCGGGTAAAATCAATTACTTTAGGCGACGTTTGTAGACTAACCAACTCGTACCAACGTCCGCATGCGCGACGCTGGAGTATTACTATTCAGCGTTTTTACTACATTTCTAGGTTTCCTATTTCTACGTTTAATCGGCCCATGTCTCAGCCACAATATTTTGAGGCCAGTATTATTAACGAACCCAGTTAAACTTATTTACTAGCCTATTGAATCAATGGACCCTCATAAACACAACAAACTGAACGTTTAATAGGAATATTCTAGATCTATTTTAAAGACTCAAGGAACACATTTAGATGTAGGCCTACGGCCAGACGGGAGGCCAATCCGGCCTCCTCCTGAGTCCTACTACTACTAAGCCGTAGCCTAGCCTATTTATGAAATCATCGCACGATTTTACCTGTCTGCATGCACCGACCAAAAAGGACGTCAGTGACTGTACTGTATTCTCTCTCGAATGCTGAAATGTTTATTTCTTTGACGAAAGTCTATCAAAATAGCATTAAAAACAAGTTCTTTTTAACACAATAGTTATTCATCGTATCCGTACTGTACTGCTGATGTGTAAATTAAACGCGTACTGCAGGAGCAAAAATCAGCATACGCACAGCTAAATGTAATACGCACACGTATACTGATCATATCACTATAGCAACCGATGACTGCTACAACAGTTGGTTATAAAAAAACTAAATTAAAAGACGGCGATTGACTTATAAAGCAATTAGTAGAGCATGCATCGTACACTAAATGGAAAATTAATATAATTAGGTTAGATTTAATGCATTCAAAAATTTCCTTCGGGCCTTGCAAGCCCTCAGGAATTTTTTTCAAGCATTAAATCTAACCTTCGTATAATAATTTTCCA